GGTCAGGAGAGATCTGCTCCATGCTGGTCACCTCTAGGACAGGCAGGGATCGAACTCATGCGGAAGTGGCTTAAGCTTCTTAGTGCTGTGCTTTAACCCGCTGCACCAGCAGGGAGGGCCCCCTTTATCACTAGTTTTGTGTGAGAAAATTTTTTCCCAATTAGTGAGTTGTCTTTTTTGTAATGTCTCTTGTGCTGTACAGAAGCTCTTTAACTTGATGTAGTCCCATCTATTTATCCTTACCTTCACTATCGTGGCATTGGGTGCTCTATCTTTAAAGATGTCTTGTAGTGTTTAGCCCATCTTTGCTTCCAGGTATTTTCTGGTTTCCGTTCTTATGGTGAAAGGTAGTGATCTAGTTTCATTTTTTTGCATGTAGCTTCCCAGTTTTCCCAGCACCATTTGCTGAACAAACTTCTTTGTTCCATTGTATCTTTTTTGCTCCTTTGTTAAAGATTAGTTGTCCATAAACCTGTGGGTTATATCTGGGTTTTCTATCTGAATCCACTGGTCTTTATGTTCTTGTTCCAGTGTCATGCAGTTTTGATTATTATGTCTTTGGAGTATAGCTTGAAGGAGAAGGCTAGACTATTTTGAATATGCTATATATAATACCAGTTATATGTATTTTTAAAGATTTATGCACACAAGAACTGGGGTGTAGGGCAGAGATGTGGGGGTAGGCTGTTTGAGAGAGCATTCACCAGAGACAAGAGTGGGGAGCAGAACAGGCAGATGGACTGAAGTACACTGCCTGGGGGAGCAGCATGTAAGCAGGAGGGGTCTGCTGCACCATGTAGGGCCATGTGGATTACTAACTGATAGGGGGTCAAACTCACGCTGCAGTGGCTGCTGACAGCTTGAGAGCATGACTTTATCCCTGTGCCACCAAGGAGGCCTTATACCATTTATGTCTTAAAGAGGCCACATCTTTTGCATGGACCAAGGCATTTCCCAAATACCACTGGCAAGCTTTACACGAATGATACAATTTTAGTTGAAGTGTGTTGTTCTTTACAGTAGGTCATTTCTATTAGAACTCTTTCAGGGGCTGAACAGATGTTCTATAAAACCTGGGTAATCAAAGAACTTCTATTAAAAACTGCGGTCAGTTAAGGGCATAACGGCTTTCTAGTACTACAATGAGGGCAAATGGTGAAATTGAACTTAAAACAATTTGGCAGTTCTGGTTGTGATGAGCAAAAGAGAGACTTAAAATGTTTAAATAATGGAAAACACTTTAAATTATATAGTAAAATTTTATTTGATAAATATAATTTCATAAATTGTAAAAAATTACCAAGAGCTGTACAGTAAGCATACTATATTTATTCATAATGCAGGAATTTTTAAAGATTTAGACAGTCACAATGTCTGAGGTCCAAAATTTTAAACTAAGAGTTGCTACAGTTCTTCTGGCTACTAATTCCTCATAAAAATCTAACAATCACCATTACTACAGACACATCATTAGTTATAATCTATTTTGGTAGGAATATCATTCATGTTATCTCATAAATTTTATTAATGTTCTACTTTTATGAAAATAGATTAACTCGTTTCAAGAAAAAACATCTACAAAGGGGCCACCAAACTTTATAAAACAAGTTGTACATAATCCTTTGGTGTTAATTTTACTCATAACTGCTTATATTATTCCACAAATTGATCTTTACGGGGACAAAGAAATATGATTTTCCCCAGTCTGTAGTAACTTTTCAAATATTGTATTTTAAAAACGTTCCGTATTAATCATAAGTTTTTTAGTGGCCTTAACTCCTATCAGGTAGATGTGTCTCAAGCTTATTACACAAGCACAATTTCACAATCTTAGGCAGCTGAAACGACTCTAGTTTGAGTAAAGTATGTCCTAACAGGGTGAATTGTGTACTCAATCTAGGCAGGACAATGCTGGAGTTTGGATGAGTCTAGGACGTCTTTGGACATCCTGGAAATAACCCAACGGGGGTCACCTCCAAGAAATTCAAACTGTAAACTTACCCCTGTCTTTCTTCAGCCCCACAGCAAGCCTGGTAGCTGGAATTCTTGTGGACTGTGCTCGAGGGTGAGCCCAAGGCTTGCTAACATGGTGCTTACCCAGTGGAGCCACCTACGCAACTGATGACCAATTTTAGAAGCTAGCTTGGCACTTGCTGCTATTATCTTCAGCGTTAAGAGTTTTGAGAGTAGGGAAAGGCAAGCAAACAAGGAAAATCTATTTGAGACCACTGGTTAGTTAGCAATAGCACATGTAGCATCGTAACTCTTGTTTTGGCAGATTAAAAAAAAAAAACTAAGGTAATTATCAACATTGTACTTTCCTTAGGATTTTAAAAATATACAAAGGAGAAATTTTCTGTGAGGTCTGGTTATGTATAACAGTTTTGCAATATGAATGTCAGTGCTAGAGAAGTACTGAATGCTAGTAGACAGCACTGTTACTTTCTTAAATGAAAAGAAGAAACCCCTTTTATAAGATACCTTCCTTTCCCTGGAGCACATGTTGAACAGAGTAGGATAAGCATAACAGCAAATACCATTTATCTTTTTTTCATATAAAGCTCCTAAATAACTTCAAATGGTGAGTGCAGAAAATTGCAGTTTTGCAAATTCACATCTTAAGCACTGTGTAGGCCAGCTGACCTCTGCGCTGTCATAACTGCCCACGGCTTTGTAGTAGTCCATGTAGTGGATGGCAAATGAACGCTATAAGACAGAGGTAATGTAGAACCACTGAATGCCATTTGTTATATGCACATTTTATAAGACCCCGTAAGAATAAATTCCATATTATCTACCATTAAACTGCTCTCCTGAGTATTTTCTGACTACTGCTTCTGGAACATGAGCTGGTAAGAGCACATGTTGTACTTTTTATCAGCTTTTTATGGCACTTCCAGAAAGAATAGTGTCTTTCTAAAAGCAAACTGGAATATAACAGCTATTTATGAAAATTAAGATTTAGGCAAAATCAATAATTTAACATTTTTGAAACCAAGAAGACAGCTTACCAGCAAATAAAGGTCAATTCTTAATTGTTTACTCACCATTCTTTTCCAACCATTCCTATACCATTCCAACTTATATTCATGAAATGTGAAAGGGGAAGAAGGTTATGTACGCAATCTGTAAAAAGGAGTTATATTCCAGAGAAAATTTTGGCACTTAACCATTTCAAATGGATATATACACAATCAATATATGCTTAAGAGCTGGGTGATTTTTAAATCAATAATCATTTCCAAACTTTAGAATATTAGTTTTTAATCAAAACAACACTGAATCTACATGGTAAATTCAGGATGAGATGAAGTATGGAAGTGGAACGCTAGTTACAATGATATCAACCTGAGTAATCATTCTCAGCATTTTAGTTTGTTACTGTCATTACTCTATAAAATTGTTTCATTCTATAGCCATGTCTGAAAATATAACTGACTGTGGGGATATAGAGCAATTTCAAGTTTGTCTGAAATTGCTTATTCTAAAATTTATCTTACTGAAAGGCAGGTGCACTTTAAGTTAGATACAGAAAGAGGCATCTCTTTTCTTTTTTCCCCATTGATTTAATCATTTTAACATTTCGTTTTGAGAATTAAAAATATTTACAAGATATACTGTCCAAACTTGTTTTTTATTGATAGAGTTGAATTTTTACAACAGTGTCATAAAATACTATAAACAGAGCCTTCAGATACAGAAAAAAAAGCAATATTAACCAGACTGAAGCATGCAAACGATGCAATGATAACACATTAAATAATATTCTAATGGTATTTAACAACTACAGGTTCTTCATATTTGTCACAAAAATATTATAAGCATCAATTTGAAATTTGGTGAGTGGACTTGATTCCTGATTTACATATAAATTATGATATATTCTTTGCATGTATATGGTTAACTTTACTAGTTGTGTTACAGTACTTTCTAGAGAAGTTTGGTATCCATATATATTTACTACCCACAGTGCAGTAAAACAATGGTTGGAAATGCATTCTCCTAATTTGCTCTGTGAACTCAGGAAGCACTAACAAATTAACAACATGGGTCACCGAGGGACCAAAATTCTTTACAATTCACATTAACTTTTCCCATGAAAAGTTTCAAATATAACTCTAATAAAAAAATAGAGTTTCAAGGCAAACTTTTTAGCATAATTTACAGAAGCAGATTTAAATAGAAGACTCAATAACCAAGCTCATACTAAAAAATACAATTAGGAATATTTCCCTTTTCTATTGATATTAACATAATTAGCCTTAGAAAAGGCTGAGATGCCATTCGGAGTCCCACAAGCATAGGGACAACCCAGATGAAGAGATGGGAAAGTCTCTTTACTCATAAGTTTAACATTTTCAAATTTAAATTAAGGGGGTTAAGAGAGGTTCACGTTAATGCTTTATGTTTGTTTGCCATGGTGAGTGAGTATGAACCACCCTGGAGGTTTTAGAATGTAATTCTGCAGAGCTAATGTGGCCATTACTAGTATGATTACACGGAATTTTAGGAAAAGAATTGAAATGGCTCCCACAAGTACTACTGCCCTTTATTAAGAAGATGAGTCCATTGTGGAGAGGGTCAAGATGCTCCTGTCGTTGGTATAGAAAGGATCCGATGCACTCCATGATCTAAAGTAACAATAAGAGAAAAGTTTGGCTCACCAGGACCTATGTTTTAATTGGGAAAAAAATTTACTCTAAAACAGGAATAAAATGCAATTTGAGCTATGAATAATTACTGATTGATTCATTTTTAAAATATAAAGAAAAACTCTTCATTCTAGCAATTCTAGCATTAAATGACCATTCAAATTACATTATACAAAAACTTGGGAAAAATATGCTCTATCATCATATAAAAATATTAGCCAAAATTCAGACATTCATTACCATTAAGTGATTTCTACAGGTAGTAACGCATGAGATACTCTTTAAATCTTAACAATTCAACAGGAAATAAATATGTTAGGAGTTATATGCAGGGTTGTCTTTACTGAAGAACAACAGGTTGTACTTTGACATGACAGAAGTAAACAAACAAGCCACTTACCAAAAGCTTTGGAATGAAACAGTAGTATAGGCATATATTATTATTACTATAGCTATAAATTCTAAATATTTTAGCATAATGAGCTTGAATATAGTAAGATGGTTTAAGTCAGTATGTATCAAAGTGACCTGTAAGTTACTAGGTTTTCACCTAAGAACAAATGGTCTTTTACTAGACTGTAAAAGTTAACTGTTATTTGAATGATAGATCCATAAGCAATTCATTACATAATATTTATTTGCTCCTGTATTAATTTAAGCTTCAATAAATCAAGACCAAAATTAACCTGCTTAAAACAACCTCAATTATTTCAAGGCAATATTAGGATCACCAAGTCAAAAATAGCTTTTCTTAAAAGATTAAAGCGCTTAATAAGTACATTTTATGTTATTCAATACTTTCCTAAGAACTCCTTATTTGCTTAGACAAAAATGATAGTGAAGAGACTAGCATCTAAAAAGGCCCAAATATACCTCTATCAAATATCTGTTGGGAGATGCTAAGTTTGCATGTAGTTCAAATTTAAGTCTATTAACTATGAACACAGTCATAATGAACTTTGGAGCCTACAAATTTTACAAAATTGGCAAAGACGACAAACAAGCAAGCAACTATATCAAGTGGTTTGCTGGTTCTCTAATTTTACTTGCGTCCAGAAAAACTTAAATAATATCTACCTTGGTTTGCCATCTCTTGAGCACCCAGAGCTGTGTCTGGCACACAGGCCTCAGTATTTATAAAATGAATGCATGAAGTAACAACACAAACATTTCTTAAATACTTAATGTGAGAAAAAGTATACTCAGACACGTGTGACAAAAATTAACTATCAATTGTTAATAGTTAATCCAATTATCTAGAGTCAGATTTCTACTCCCAGATTGCCAATATTTTACATTATTTTTGCCTCCTTTCTAACCACTGCTTACATAGAAGAATCTTAATAAGGTTTCTTTCAATTTTGTTATTTTTGAAGCATACATGTGCATCTAAATAGTAAATATCCTATTTGACAGAAGATTAAGCACCTGAAGTACGTATTAACTGTTAACTCTTTTCTATTTAGGAGGTACTTTTGATTGGGGTGAAGTAACTGTAGGTAAAATACAAACAGAAAATGACTTATTGCTGAAGAGCAGCTCGCTGGGCACAGTACCATGCTGCTTGTGAAACCCGTGCCTGCAGTATGGCACACCCCTTTGACAACATGAATAAAATGTAAGCAGAATTGTTGTGAATGGTAAACATTCAATATTTGAGGAATTCTGCCCCTCCCCTCAAATGATGCTCATTACCTCTTATGTCCACGATACTAATGAACACATATGCAAGGGCTTCACCTTTAAATCTGAGGATGGAGCTATCAGCCTTGCCCTACTTTTAAAATTAGATGTGACAGACATAGACTATATGCTGCTCCAAAATCAAAACATAAATGCCAAACATATTTCACTAACACAATACATGTAAAAACCAAAAAACCCTCTACATAGCAAAATGATTTTAAAAGTTTCAATGCAATGCTAATGGCAATTCTCATATAGCCCTCTGAAAAGCACCAAGTGGTTCTGTACATGCGATTTTATCCACTAGGAAAACAACAACTAGATCTCAACTAGATCTTTCATTTGAAGAAAAGAGGGAGATAATAACAGTAGTAACCAATAGTATAACCTGAGATGTTGGACAAAATTGGAAAGGTATTGGTAATTTGTCAAATAAGATATTAAATACTATTGAAGATTTTATTAGGAGAATAAAAAAAGTTTTACCAAAAAAGTATGGTACAGTTTTAAGTGGAAGCCAAGTATAGATAATAATACTTTGAAGATAACATACAAAAATAAACCCTTTAATTCTTTAGCATGTTCAAAAGTAATAATGCAGCACAAAAATAGCTAGATATCAAGAATATACTAGGAACATATGGAGCAGAAAATTATTTTTTGTTCATTTAAAATAATTCTATTTTTTCTAAAAAGATTTATTTATTTATGCATACAAAAGCTGGGGTATAGGCCACATGTATGGGATCGGGAAGGGGTGAGGGTTCACCAGACAGACATAGTGGGGAGCAGCAGGCAAAACAGGAGCAGCCTGCTATGCCATGTGTGTCAGCTCCTTGGCAGGGATTGAGCTCATGCGTTAGAGGCTTGCTTCCCCTTGCTCTACCAGGGAGGCCCAATTCTAAATTTTTCCTTTAATAGCCATCAAGGTTTTATATTGATAAAGGGGACTTCTTTTAGAAGTAAAATTTTAAAAAATTCTGCTCTACTAAAAAGACACTTCTCCAAAGAGGAAATGCAGATGGCCAACAAGCATATGAAAAAATGATCAACATCATTCATAATAAGGGAGATGCAAATTAAAACCACAATGAGATACCACCTCACCCCAGTGAGAATGGCACATCTTCAAACAACTAGCAACAACAAATGTTGGCGAGGATGTGGAGAGAAAGGAACTCTCCTGCACTGCTGGTGGGAATGCAAACTAGTACAACCACTGTGGAAAACTGTTTGGAGGTTCCTCAAACTGCTTAACATGGAGCTTCCCTACGACCCAGCAATCCCACTCCTAGGTATCTACCCAAAAGACACAAAAACACTGTACCCCCATGTTTACTGCTGCTTTATTTACATTGGAAAAACATGGAAGCAGCCCAAATGCCCAAAAGTAGATGACTGGATTAAAAAGATGTGGTAAATATATACAATGGAATATTACTCAGCAACCAAAAAAGAGAAACACATGTCTTTTGCAGCAACTTGGATGGAGATGGAAAAGATCATGCTTAGTGAGATAAGCCAGAAAGAGAAAGAAAAATACTGGATGGTTTCACTCATAGAAGGAGTTTAATGGACCAGGCGAGAAAATAACAAAAATAATGAACAACCATATATCAGAGACATTTTGCAGGGGTGGAGTGGGGAATGGGATCAAAAATGGGGGGGTAGGGAGGGAAATGCATGGGATTATGGTGATGGCACACGGGTGACTTGGTGATGGGAAATCCGCAGGGATTACAATTGAGAAAAAAAAATGTACAAAATGATGTAAAAATAAACTTTTGTAAAATAAAAAAAAAATTCTGCTCTATAGTAGTCTTTTGATCAACTCCTACCTTAGTTCTGTGCAACAATACTGTCTTCATTAATTTTATAAATTAGGTCTTTTAGAACTTCTTTTGGGAATCTAGTTGACCTAGGTACATGATAGAAGTGATTTCTTGTAATGTAATTTATAATACAATTGTGTAAGTCATAACAAAATCCTGATAAATTCAGTTGCTCACAGCAATTTTTCAATGTAGAATGAAATGATAAATCTATTAGCATTATGGAATTATTTTTGTTAATATGTATAATCAGTAATTGGGGCCTGAAACTATATATGATTTACTATAAATATGCTATTGACAAAAAACAAAAAAACAAAAAACCAAACTGTACCATAAAGACACGGGTGTAACTAAAAACAAAGAAGGAATTAATATTTTCACCAGTTAAAGTTATCTGAATTTTAGGACACATGAATGATACCATTTTCATTACTTTGAAAATACAAAACTACTAAAAATTCTTGAACCAACAAGATGAAAGTATGGCCTCCTTTACCCTTTCTTCTCTGTTCCTGGGGTGTTTTTCATCTTTTCCAAGCCACGGGGCATACAGAGAGTGGTACATTCCAGCGGTACACTGTGAAATGGGAGCTGCGATCTACCCTGCCCACCTGTAACCCCCTTGCACACCAGTGCAGAGCTGCTTTGGCTCTGGAAATATGATCTCATTCATCTAAAGACACAAAAGTGTGAACAAAGTTATTGCTATGTCTTAATAGCTCTAAATAATAATTTGTCTCTTGGGTATATCTATCAAGACATAAATCCACTTCAATTTCAAGGAAGTTTGTGTCACCCCCCCACCATGGCATTTTTTGTTATGATCTATAAAATCAAGAACTATGATAAGTCGAATTCAAGAAGTAGACTGGGAAGGAACAAAAATGCTAAGATTCTTCTAAAACATGATTTAAAGAGCTTGTTCCAACAAGCATAAATACCTGAAAAATCACAACTCATTTTAAAACCTCATTATAGAGATAAAAAAGGGATCTGAGAACAGAAATACAGCCTTTTCTGTTTATAAATACCTCAGTCTCAAATGACTGACTAGAAAATATGTAGGGAGAATAAGAAAAACCTTTATCTTTTGAATTTAATATTATTTGTGGGTTAATTTATAAATACAAAAAAGCAAACAAAATGAAGTATAGGAACAGAAACAGTAGTATAGGCATAATTAAAAAAATACTTATAAAAACTAAATAAGAGTACCACATACACACTCCTATTTGGCACATTTTAGAAAAGATTATAAAGAAAATGTTTTTATTCATTAGATGAAAAGTCTCTTCAAAAGGTGCTTTTTTTCTTCCTTGTCAGTGAAAGAACCCCTACCCCAACCACACAGTGAAATCTACATGGACGAGTGCTAATAAGTAGCACACTTCCTGCTTCAGTTGGTAAAACCGGCCTCTGATTTATTAGGGACCTACAGATGCAGGTTCGTCCTGTTCCAGTTTACAGGGTACTCATTTGCAGCAAAGGCTACTTAGAGAAATTTCACACCTGCTGACATGGGTGGGACTACAGCTTCCTATTACTCGTTCCAGCATTCTTCCAAAAGATGCGCACGCTGTTTCTCCTGAGAAACAGCACATGGAGTCCAAGCACTTGATACTTGAATTTGTTTCAGTAAGCTGGAGGGTTTGAAGCAGAAAAAAATTAGTTATTTATAGACTTGAATTTCCAAAAAGGGTTTAAAAAATTACAATGAACACTTTAAAATCAAAAGTAGTGTGATGTCTTCATAATATGGCAATGTTATTAAGAGTAATCATACACAAATATTTAAAAGGCATGCTATCTGAAATCAGATAAAATAATTATATCAAATTAAGCTGATTAATATTATTTAAGTCTGGAAATACTTAAGATTTTAAAATCTTACCACAATAAATTACTATGATTGAAATGATTTATATCAACAACTCAGAAAATGAATTCTTCTGAGTTTTGTTTAGGAGAAATGTTATTGAAATTTCAATGAAAAATATCTAACAATTGAGAAAAGTAGAAAGAACTATTTGAAGACTAGGAAATAACCACCAGGTAGGACCTAACTCCCTTTTCTTCATCAGCATCATCATCATCATGATCATCATCATCATCATGATCATCATCAAGTAGCAAACACTTTATGTAGTATTTACTAGATGCCAGATTCTACTTCCTCTATAAATAGATAGGCATTACATATCCCTTAGAATTATCCTTAAAAAAAGCATCATTTACCTTAATCTGTTAAGCAACTACTCAGTGCCAATCAAGCTCAAAATCGGCTCACTTTGTTTTTTCGAGAATTAATGGATGATATACATGTATTAAAATTGGTTAAACAAGTAACTTAATAGTACTACTGAGATTTGAAATTGAATTTCTACAATATGTAAGATTCATACTAATTCATGCATAAATAAATCAGTCAATAAAGCCTTACTTCTAATTTTGTTAATATGAAGGAAAAAAAAAATAGTATGATCACATAGCCCAATGAGTCCCAACCCTGGTTTTGACCCAATCAATGGTAAAGCTAAATGTCAAGGTCTGTCATATTAAACACAGTCATTTTTATTAATTTTCCTTTACATAAGTAATAACATACCACATAACAAATCTTTAGAGGAAGAAATACTAAATAGATACACTGGTGTTACATTCTGCAAAGGTTGGGAATCACTGAGTGTCAGGGGCAGGCATGGCAACAGGGGATATGTGGAGATGTTCACAACAGAGAGAAGAGACGACGTGATGGAACATCGACAGCCTAGCACTGTGAACCCAGGGACCTGGTAAGGGCCAGCAGACTCCCTGCTCAAGTAATGCTGCCAAACACCAGGCAGTATAAGACAAAATGGTTCCCGCCTGGCAGCTGCTCACTTACCCCAAATCCTAGGATCTGCTAAGCACTAATGAATAGCCAAATTTTTCTTGTCCTTTTATACTATATCTTTAAGGCTGTTTATGGTACTGTTTCTTAAGCTGTATTTGTGAGATGTTTAAGGCACTTAATGAAAATTCTGTGGCTGATTTAGTTTGGGAAATGCTAGTTCAAAGAAGTTCTAAACAGACTCGCTGATTAAAGCATTATCAAGTAGAGGCTGCATGGTCAGTCTCCATTGGGGGAGCTAGACAGTAGAATTCCCACACTTGTTTCTTGCAATAAACTCATACCCAAGGAACATTAAGCAACACCAGAAAGAATACTAGTACTCAGAAAAAGAACTTAGCAAATGCTCAGATAATAGGATTTCATTCATTTCCTAGTTTCCGTTTTGGGTCCCTGGGTTCGTTTCCTTCATCTCACAATCACGTTAAGTGGAAACCAGGACTCCAGGGCTACCATAACCTCCAAGGTGAAAGTACAACACCTCAAGCCTCTATGTAATTTGACACCAGGATGCCTTTCCTGCTCGACCTCTCCATGCTCCTTTGCAGTCTTCCTGCAGTTAACCAAGGCAGTTTTCCCTGCCTGTGGGCATCTGCCAGGGCCAGTCATGAGGGTCAGAACATTGTCCCTACACCAAGGTTCAGTTTAAACACCGTAAATACCAACTTCTTAAATCTCCCTTACCTTCCACCAATCCATCTCTCTCTCCACTCTATTCAATTGATTGTTTACATTACTTGACAGAATAAGTAATGAAATTGAACATACAACTTACTGAGCAAGGCACTGTGCTACTTCCTAAAGACAGCAATCCTGTCCTCAGTATAGCGAATTATAGGTAAAGGATGATGGGAGATACATCAAGACAAGTTAAGAGTAACAGCTATATTAACAGAATGTATTTTGTATTTTGTGTATGTGCCAGTTACTAAGTAAGATGCTCTTTATGAATGGTCTCACTTAAAACTTAAAGAGGAAACAGAGAGATCAAGAGTTTATTCAAGATTGTCCTGCTGGGGATTGAGCTATGGTTCCTTTGATTCAAGATCCCAACCCTCCCTGTCAAGCCAATATCCTACCTTCTTATAATTATGGTATAAGATTACAAATTATCAAAAAAAAAGTGTGTGTGGGGGGCAGAGTTCAAACCTAGCTGTTATTGGTACTGGTGGGAGAACATAGAAACCTGATGTAAAAGATGACATTTGAGTTACATCTGGAAGACTGGTTGGTATTTCAATAGCTGGAAATGAGGAAGGAAGAGCATTCCAAGCTAAGCAAAGAAAATGACAGAAAAGTATGATGTAAATTCAGCAAATATTTAGTCTAAATATAAGAGAGTTGTTGTTACTCCTGTCCCCTTGCAAAAAGATCAGTGTGACTCAAAGTGTGATCCATGATCAGTGTTGATTTGAAAATCACTATCACTAGCTTCTGAGCAATTCAGCATTTCTGGTCTGTGAGAGTTTATTCAAAAATTCTATGGCAATTTGGCAGAATAATCTTATAACTCTTAATGTAATAATTTTGAAACTAGAATTTTTAAATCTTAAATTTTATTCCTCTAGTAATTCATTTTTATTGCATTTTACAAAAATATTGGCCCATGGTGAAGTGGAAATGAACAAAATAAGAGAACAACAAACTGATCCTTAGCCACTTATACCTGAGGAGTATGGAACTAGACCAGAAATTTGAGTACAGGAACTTGTTTGGCGCTTCTTGAGTTAACATATACTCTGTTCATAAATGGAGCTCAACCGGTTGACAGGGATTCACTGAAGATGACATCTTAAGAGTCAGTAGCATTTGTGGTTCACGTTTGTGTGGAACACCGATTTAGTCTGGATCTGACTTTACGTGATTATATTTTGTACTTTCATCACCTTTCACCTTAAAACCTAAGGACTGACATTAAAATATGGGCAACCCAATAGGGAGAATAAGTATCCTGAAATGTCAAAATAGTATAAAGAAATGACTTTTTCAAATCACCCTGTAAGCTAAGCAAAACATATTTCTTTTCCTTAAAAAAAAAAAAAAAAAAAAAAAGCCCAGGTACTTGTAAAATGCTGAATGTTGGTTAACTGTGTTTCTGAGAGTCTAGCTATTAAAATGCTACAGTTTTCCAAGGTCTACTGCTTTCCCAATGTACACCTTTGATCTTCTATTCAGGAACTGGGAGCTTAGACAGAGTACTTACAGCCACAGCTGCCAGTATTATTGCAAAGTGGAACGAGAGGGAACATTTGGATCTTACTGCATGCAAAGTAAAGAGAGGGAATCATTTTACTTTTCTATATTAATAAATACAAGAAAAGAAAAAAGCAAATAATGGGAGCGAGACTCTTTGGTGGTACCAATAAGTAACTTCTAATTTACTAGAAATTTTGATTTATTAATAAGGCTCACTTGCAACCAACCACACTTGCTACCTAGCTTGATGCAACCAGGTATAATAAAAATTTTCATCTTTATAGAACTTGCCTTTTGAAATACATTCTGGTCTACTGCTCTTATTTCCATTGTTTTCATATTACTGTTGATAAAACATTTGCACTGTGGGTCTTATTTTAACTACACATTTATGGCATCTTACCTGCCAAATCAAATAATTTTATGTTTAGGTAAGAATATAGAAATATTAATTACATTAGTTCTTTGTCTTTAATTTAAAAAATATTTTAATAACCATCATTAGCATCCTGCATAGCCTTACAGGAGATAGTTTGGAAAGAAGTTTTAAACAGTAGTTATGGGGGAAAAAAGAGGTCTGTGTGTAAGGAAATGGTATTATTTTGCATGTGAAATGAAAAGTAATCAATTACTGATTTCCAAATTTAAGAGTAAGAAAACTCTTAAAACAAGTAATAGCTTTGCCTGATTATTCAGAATTGCAAGAGGTAGTTATTTAGTGATGACATTCTGATACTGCCGTATCTTATTCAAAGTCCAAAACATGCCTCAAGCTCATATGCATTCCTTTAAATTTCCTACCCTCTATCTTTCTCCCTATGTAAAATTAACAACTTTGAAAGGTAGTTAGAAATAAAATATCGCTATCCTGTCTTTTAGTGATCTTCAGAGAGGATATTTCATATGTTGTTGCCTTAATTAAACTATGAAAATAAGCATAAAGAACTATATAAGTTTATTTTAATACCTTAGTATATTCTTAGTAAAAAGCAGAGGTGCCCCTTTAATTTTCATGTGATTATATAAATAATACATGACTATCAGTGAAAATGATAAATGCCACAATTTTAATAGAATCAGAATAACACTAATTATTGAACTAAGTGTGGCACAGCTGATGCTAAGAACTCAGTTCTCTAATCAAGCATTCACAATACGTCACATGAAACTATATGGTAAGAATAACTTCAATTGCCTTTTCATTTCAATCTCCAGAAGAAACAGCAGCCAAATAAGTCAACACAGATCTGAAATTAGTGTTATATCTCTCAGGTACTACCAGTCTTTTAAATGTTTGTTATTATTTGCTTACAGAATTTTACTCATTTAGAAAAACATAGCTTTAAGGGGCACACACTGAATACAGACCATTTAAGTTTTCTGTTCCTTTTCATTATAGTTTATTGCTTTGTTAAATAAAAAGTAAATGTATCTTTATAACAGGAAAAGAGGAAGTGATGTGTAGTTAGTTAAAATTCTCTTTAAAATGGGTTTTTCCTGTTATTGGGGGAGATAACAGGTTTCAGGTATGGGTTTAAGTCCCCTGGTCCATAA